TTGCCCTTTCCTTAACCATAATCGTGTCTTTTGTCACTCCTCTCTACCCTTAGGTTTGATGAATAGTCACTTTTTTATGTTCTGTTTTATGCCTGTTATTTTCTTTAACAGTGGGGAAGCAAAAATTGCTACTTAATGTGAAAGAAACTTTATGGATAATTCTAGTACTCTAAAGTTTCTGGAGTTCACACATGCCACGTGTGCACTCTGTTCCAGTAGCTCTGATGAGGAATGGCAGAATATCTAAATGATTGGAACCCCTCATGAAAAACTGTGTGTTTTTTCAGACTAATGTATGCTTGATTTTCTTTTCTTCACCTATCCAAACAGGGATTTTTAATTTTGATTTTAATTACTTCCTTGTCCTGAAAAATGATTGCCTATAATATGGAGCCTTTCTCGGTTTGGTAACTTTCCACTGAGTAACTGATTAAGGTCCTTAGTGTTTTAGAAATCGAAGGAATGAATGAATGAGTGAGGGAATGGCTAGCTAGCTAGATTCATTTAAATCTTTTCTGTTGCATGCTATATTGTTTACAATGAGCCTTGTAATATCTAAGGTTTTGTCTCTTTTCAGCTGTGTTTTTTTCTCTCTCACAGTTTCTAGGCACTGTCACAAACACTTTGATTCTTTCATAGCCAAACTCTTAATTCCTTTTTTAAAAATGTTCATTTTCATTAAAGTGCTATTTAACATTAGATATTAACTTTGACAGATGTTAAGACTGCTTCTCAATTAGGAGAAATATATTCTTGGGAAGGTGCCAATTTGAATTGAATATATTTGAATTTGGTATGCGAATTAAATTGTTGTTTAAACCTACCCATCCATCATATGGGTGATGAAGCAGCCAGCTGGTTTTGTATATAAGCGGTTTTTATTTTTTTCCATAGCAATATTCAAACATTAGAAATTGGCTTCCTATTGTAGCAAAGAGAACTTTGTATGAATTTACTACAGGATTTCATTATTTGTCAGTTCCTTAGACTGCCTAGAATTTAAATTGGCAGACTCTACTTTGGTATAAAATGCTTTCCATGGACAGCATTAATATTTTAAAATACTTTTTTTGCTCCTGCATATTTCCAGTAGACAGGAAGTCTGGCTCTATTTACCCTTTGGCTACTAATGAATGCTATTAAATTGTTATTTATCTTTTTTAGGCAGAGGCATTGCAGGTATGAGATCAAAATTGCCAAGTAAGGCAAGCATTTAATTTTAATATTTTAAAACATTTATAATCTATTCAAAGGTGGAAACTAAAGTATAGATACTAGAAAGAATTTTAGACTTGAGTCAAGAATCTGGGTTGTATCTCCACCTGTGTCACTAACTAGCTAGGTCACCTTGAATAATCCACTATCCAACTCTGGACTGCATGGCCTCTCTAAAGGCTCACCTTCCACACTGCATGTTCTATATACAAGAGAGTGGGGCTGAGGGAAACTGAATCTTGTTTATTAGCTATCCACATAAGCCTAGCAGCTCTGAGGTCAGTTTCCAGCTGCATTTTTCATCTTTTTCATAATCCTTTAAATCCTTGCTAGGCTTTCATTGCTAGTTTCTTTCCCTAGGAATTTGCATGTAGAGATGTTGAGGGCTTCCTACCTTTTGGAATTTTCTTATGCTCATGAGTTTAATGAAGTTACTTAGAATTGATGAAAAATATAAGAATTAAAAGTCTTGTTCTAGTGTCTCTATAAAGACAGAGTGTTTTCATCATGACTAATGTACCTTCACTATTTCAGAGTTTTGAATTTAATACTTTTGAGTCTTGGTATGGCGAGGCATGATTGTCAGTTTTTCTTATTAGCCATGTTGCATTCTCCCATCTACTCCCTGTTCTGAACATTCTTTTTTTTTTAAGTCCAGAATGATTGAGCAACCAGGATATATTGCTGGCCTGACCCTCAGTTAGATTTTAGAAAATATCCTTAATTTGAAATAGTTTGAATTGCACTGAACTACCATTTACCTTTTGTTGGTTTGATACAAAATAAACAAAATGATGACTTACCTCAGAGTGTTGAGAAATTAACTGTATGGCATGTGTATTTTAATGGAAAGCTAGAGCTAGATACAAAAATCTCTTCATTAAAGGGGGCCTAGCACTATAATTAAAAAGGCAGACAATAACAAGTATTGGCGAGGATGTGGGGACATTGAAAAGAAGCCTTATACATGGCTGGTAGGAACATACAGTGGTATAGCCACTGTGGGAAACAGTTTGGTAGCTCCTGAAAAAGTTAAACATGAAATTACCATATGACCTAACAATTCCACTCCTATGTATCTGCCCAAGAGAAATGAAAACATATGTCCACACAAAAAGTAAAAAATGGTTATTCATAGCACCATTATTCATAACAGCCCCAAAGTGGAAACAAGCCAAATTTCCATCACCAGATAAGTGGATAACAAAATGTGATTTATACAGATAATTGAATATTATTAGGCGGTAAAAAGGATGAAGTACTGATATGTGTTACAACATGAGTGAAACTGCAAAAACATTATGCTGTGTGAAAAAATTCAGATGAACAAAGGCCACATATTGTATGATTCTGCTTATATGAAATGTCTAGAATAGAGAAATCCATAAAGACAGAAAGTAGATTAATGGTTTCTGACAGCTGGGGGGGAGAGGAGAATGTGGAATGACTGCTAATTGGTATAGGCTTTCTTTTGGGTGTAATGAAAATGTTTTAAAATTGGATAATGGTGACAATTGTACAACTCTGTGAATATTCTAAAAACCATTGAATTGTGTACATTAAAGGGTTGAATTTTATGATATGTGAATTATATCTCAATAAAGCTGTTATATATTAAAACATTAGTGACTATATTACTATAATTACTTGAAATTATGAAAGTGTATTTCAGTTACATTTTTGCCAGGGACTGGGAGTAAGGGGGAATGGGGAGTTAGTATTTAATGGCTATCATGTTTCTGTTGGGAAGATGAAAAAAATTCTTGGGATGGACAGTGGTGTGTGTTGCTCAACAGTGTGAATGTACTTAATCTCACAGAACTGTACACTTAAATAGGATTAATAAGGTAAATTTTATGTTATATATTTTACCACAATAAAAAAGCAATAACCCTAAAATATACATTTTATATCATTCTAATGCGCCAGCCTTTTTTTAAGCAGGAAAATTGAAAGTGTGATTTGCCTTTTGGTCTTTTTGCATGGGATTCTTCTAGTTTATGTTTTAGAGCTTCTCTCCAGTGTGTGTATATGCTTTGGTGAGGAAAAGGTGGAATTTATACAGATATACCAGTATGTCTTTATCTTGGCTTTGAATGAGAACTTTAAAATACTTTTTAAAACTTTATTTGCCAATTGGAAAATAAAAGAAGCCAGACCATAGGAAATTTATGTTGTTAAATTATAAAATAGTGAAATGCCATACTAAGAGTATGGATTCTCATAGATTTCCTGCTTTTCTTGGTTAATCTTGACTCCTCGACTGGGAAAAAAAACACATTTATTTTATATAGGACACCTCTAATCTTTCTATGAGCATTTCCCTCTCTATAGCAGGATAGAATGACCACCAAAATGTATTTGAAAATACAAACATTAGTATGTATTTGTACAATACAGTGGGTGAGTTTCAGAATGCAAAGGAAGGGATTGAAAAATGGAAAAAAATATCCAGCAACAAGGAAGTCACTTAAAAAAGAATTAAATTATTTCTAAAGGCCATAGGACTTTGTTATGACCCAAACAGTTTGTACACTCTAAATTTGTAACCTATTAGAATTTATCTATGAAAACATGCTTAAGACTAGCTGCTATATAAGACATTTGAGGATCAATGGCTCAAACGCCAGCAGTACCATTTAATATAGTATGCAATCAGTGGTATGTTTGTCTTGACCAGGAAGTGGTTTCTTTTAAAAGTACAAGGAACTCATAGCACCTGGTGTGTGTGTGTGAGTGTGTCTATGTGTCTGTATTTTCTGTTATTACAGGAAGAATTGTGATCTTCCCACATTTTTGTCCTTTATAGTGGTTGTTCTCTAGAGTTTGGCATTGTGGTATACTACCTTTGATTACAGGATCCAATCAGAGTTGATGTACTCAGAAATCCATTGATGTGATTAATGGTCTCCTAATCATACTTTTATTTCCTAGATTAGACTTATTTCCTGTAGTTTCATAATTTTTGAGTCATATATTGAATTATTCTTTATAGGGGGCCTGAAATCCTTGTGAGTAGTTTTAGTCTGAAATTTGCATGATTCTTTTCATTTTCTTTTGTTTCTTTTGCTTGAAGAAAATGAAATTTTGATCGTTTTTTTGAACTCTGAATGCTATAACTGGCCAACCTAGTATGAACTTGTTTTATAACATGAAATGCATATATTTTTTCCCACCAGCACTAGATCCAGAAGTCTTCCCACAAGTTTCCACTAGTCTGGTTTTTATTCTCCTCAAAAGTAAAATAAAACATTCTCAGATTCTACAAGTAACAAGAAAGTGCACCAGGAAATGACAGTACAGGAAATGTGACTGAGCATTCACTCTTTTTTTAAAAAAAATATTTTATATTGATTTCAGAGAGAAAGGGAGAGGGAGAAATAGATAGAAACATCAATGATGAGAGAGAAACATTGATCAGCTGCCTCCTGCACTGCCCCACACTTGGGATCAAGCCTGCAACCTGGGCATGTGCCCTGACTGGGAATTGAACCATGATCTACTGGTTCACAGGTTGATGTTCAACCACTGAGCCACTCCAGCTGCGTGAGCATTCACTCTTTATAATTGAATTGGTCATGGGATTGGCTAGTAAACACAATCTATTGAATGAAAAAAATGACAACTAAAATCTTTGGGGCCTTTAAATATATTTGAAGATTATTGGTATGGTTGGCACCTTAATGATTTTTTTATCTCTTACCTTTTTCAAATGATGACATGCACTTGAAATTAGGAACACTCATATTTAGCGATTGCTTTAATATTTGCTTTGTTTTCAACAGTGCCCTTAAAGATAGCCGATTTCCCCCAATGACAAGGGATGAACTGCCACGGCTCTTCTGCTCAGTGTCTCTGCTCACTAACTTCGAAGATGTTTGTGATTATTTGGACTGGGAGGTAAGACTATAGAAAAATTTTAAAGAGAAATAAAGGTAACTTGTGAGTGATTTTTTAAAATTAGGCCCAGAAAATAACTCTTTCAGCCTATTCTTTATTATCGGGAAGTTAGAGAGTAACATGGATAAATAGACCTCAGAGCTGATCAATGAGGAATTTTTTTTAAGGCAAAGTACTATGTGTTGTTTTAATCCAAAAATGAATTTGCTCTTCAATTTTATCCTATTATTTCACCAGATAACTTCATAAAAGCTGTTAATATATAGTAGGAAAGACTGATTAGAATTTATTCCTCCTCTTACAACCTGGTACACTTTGATATAACTGCCACCAAGTAGTTAATTGGTCAGAGGATACATTGAAGAATCAAGGAGAAAAAGAGTTAAGATAACACACTACTTGGGGGAAATGTACCAGCTTGTGGATAATGACAGGGTGTTAGTTAATTAGTTAAATTATGCCAATTCATTCTTGGCCACCTTAATTTATGCACTTAAACACACAAATAATATTAAGGTTATAATATCTCTGTGCATTGCCATTATTGGAGTAGTCTCTATTGATCTTATTTTTATTCTTTATTATGTGGGGTTGGAGTTCTTAAGGAAATTCAAAGGTTGTCACCATGATTTGCTTTCGTGGTTGGGAAGAGATAGTTAAGTGTCTGTCTATGAAATTTTATACACAGACATGCTCATATTATTGAATGCCTACTGTGTTTAGGGCACTGGGCTATATGTAAAAAAGTACTAAAATTTGGTCCACACCATAAAGCATCTTATAGTCTAACTAGGGGCCCGGTGCACGAAATTCGTGCACTGGGTGGTGGGGCGGGGGGAGTGTCCCTTAGCCCAGCCTGCCTCCTCTCACATATTGGGAGCCCTCAGGCGTTGACCCCCATCACCCTCCGATCGCCTGATCGGCCCCTTGCCCAGGCCTGATGCCTCCGCCAGAGGTGTCAGGCTTGGACAGGGGACCCCCATCTCCCCCCGATCACTGGCTCTGACCCCCGCCCAGGCCTGATGCCTCTGGCCCAGGAATCATGCCTGGGCAGGGGACCCCCATCTCCCTCTGATCGCTTGCTCCACCCCCCGCCCAAGCCTGATGCCTCTGACCCAGGCTTCAGGCCTGGGCAAGGGGACCCTCATATCCCCCCAATCACCGGCTCTGCCCCCCACCCAGGCCTGATGCCTCTGGCCCAGGCATCAGGCCTGGGCAGGGGACCCCCAGCCCCCTCCAATTGCTGGCTCCGCCCCCTGCCCAGGCCTTATGCCTCGGCCAGAGGAGTTGACCCTCATCACCCTCCGATCCCCGATCACCGGATCAGCCCCTTGCCCAGGCCTGAGGCCTCCGGCAGAGGTGTCAGGCCTGGGCAGGGGACCCCAGCTCCCCGTGGTTGCAGGCTCCGCCCCTGCCTAGACCTAATGCCTCTGGCCAAGGCGTTAGGCCTGGGCAGGGGACCCCCAGCTGCCCAGGATCACTGACTCTGCCCCTGCTCCCCGCGATGGCTGGTTCCGCCCCTGCCCAGGCCTAACGCCTCTGACCGAGGCATTAGGCCTGGGCCGGGGACCCCCAGCTCCCCGAGATCTCCTGCTCTGCCCCTGCCTAGACCTAATGCCTCTGACCGAGGCCTTAGGCCTGGGCAGGGAACCTCCAGCTCCCCGTGGTTGCAGGCTCCGCCCCTGTCCAGGCCTAACGCCTCTGGCCAAGGCATTAGGCCTGGGCAGGGGACCCCCAGCTGCCCAGGATCGCTGACTCCGCCCCTGCTCCCTGCGATGGCTGGTTCCGCCCCTCCCCAGGCCTAACGCCTCTGACTGAGGCATTAGGCCTGGGCCAGGGACCCCCAGCTCCAGGCGATTGCAGGCTCCGCCCCTGCCCAGGCCTAACGCCTCTGGCTGAGGCATTAGGCCTGGGCAGGGGACCCCCAGCTCCCCGAGATCTCCCGCTCTGCCCCTGCCTAGACCTAACGCCTCTGACCGAGGCCTTAGGCCTGGGCAGGGGACCCCCAGCTGCCCAGGATCGCTGATTCCGCCCCTGCCCAGGCCTAACGCCTCTGGCCAAGGCATTAGGTCTGTGTAGGCGACCCCTAGCTCCCCACGATTGCAAGCTCCACCCCTGCCCAGGCCTAACATCTTTGCCAAGGCTTTAGGCCTGGGCAAGGGATCCCTAGCTCCCCGGACTGCCGGGCTCCGTCCCTGCCCAGCTCCCATTGCTGGGCTCCACCCCCTGCTTCCCGCTATCACTGGCCGGGGGCGGAAAAGGCACCCGGGTTCTCTGATCACAGCTGGGGGGGCAGGGCAAAAGGCAGCCCCCAGGGCCGCCTTTGCCCTGCCCCGGGCTTTTAACCCCCCCGTGGGGTTTCTGATCACCATCAGTGGCAGGGGGCTCTTCTGTCCTTTCCCTTTTGCTCCAGCATGTGCTACATATGCAAATTAGCCGCATCTTGTTGGCGGTTAACCGCATCTTGGCTGGCAGTTAATTTGCATATGGCCCTGATTAGCCAATGGGAAGGGTAGCGGTCGTACGCTAATTACCATGTTTCTCTTTTATTAGATAGGATAGGAGAGAAAAGAAATATACACAAAGCACAAAGAAATAAGTGAATAAAAATAAGAATAAACAATCTATAAGAATAAAACATTTGGGAATTTGGTGATACACATAGCATTCTCTTACACACACACATAAATGATATGATTGTATTATTATGATATAGCATGTTTTAATTCTACTGCCTTTTTAGAATGCCTATCCCCCATAGTAACTGAGATATTTTGCCTTGTGGACAGATCACTGTCTTGATAGTTAACTGGATTTGAGTTTTATTTTTTGCTTTGCCCTGATTCCTAGTGAGACTTTGGACAACTTCCTTCGCTGCCATTCAGTTTTTCCACATACAAAATAAGACATTTATAAAGTTCATAAATCTTCATTTAAGTAAACTTCTATGATATAAATTATTGCTGTTATGTCACAGCTATTTTAAAAATTCTGCAGAGAGTAGGGTGAAAGAGTTCCTTCTGGGTTTTGCTGTAGGAGTTTTTTTGAGCAATATCAGAATATGAAAGCACCTTAAGATTTTTTTGTAAAAGAAAAAATAAAAGTAATTGATAGTATTGATCCTAGCAAAGTTAGAATGTGTAAAGCCTTTTATGTAATTAAACATTCATAATTGATTGTTCACTATAAATTTATAGTTCTTATTTGAAACTTTCTTAAAGAGAAGTCTACCAATATTATAGAAATATTCCACAGTACTTTACTTTTTTAAATCCTATTCTGATTTTTTAATGGATTTTTAGAGAGAAAGGGAGAGAGAGAAATATTGATGTGAGAGAAACATTGATTGGTTGCTTCCTATATGCACCCTGACCAGGGATAGAATCCACAACCTAGGTACGTGCCCTGACATGGAATTGAACCCACAACCTTTTGTTGTACAGGGACAATGCTCCAGCCAACTGATCCACCTGGCCAGGGCTCTGCATTGCTTTATTTTTAATAAACCCAAATCATATCCCTTAATTACAGTTTGGGTGGTTCATTTACTGTTTTAAGGCTACTCCTTCTCTAACAAATTTTTCTTTCTGCTTTCTGAATTTCAAGGTGCTATGTTGTGGTGAGGGTGGGAATAATAACGGGGAAAGCCTAATATCTAGGGGATGACTGAGCTATAAAACACTTTTACCCTTAATTGCAGCCACCGAGTTGGAAGTATAGTAGTTCAGGTGTGTGTGTGTGCACGTGCACGGGCGTGCATGTGTGTGCATGTGCATGAATGTATTTTGCATAAATGTGTATGCATGTGTTTGTGGGGAAGGAACAATGGGAGAATCCAACAGTTGTTAAATAGGTATGGGTGAACACAGAGTCCACCATCATCTTCTTTAGCCCACTTTAAGCATTGTCTACAGCTAAAATTAACCTTGATATTATTGGGTTTTTATGTTCATGAGATGTTATCAGCTTTACTTTGGGAGGGTGAGAGTTTAAGCACTTAAAATTGGTATGGTGTACTCTTTCAGGGTGTATTTATCCTCTCTGGTCACTATCTGCCAGTTTGAATGTCTAGAAGATTCTATATATTGCTTCTACTTAGTGTTATAAAGACTTAAATATTGGTATCTATTTAGTGATGCTTTCCTGTTAAAGTATCAACAAAATATACAAACATATATTTAGTACTTTAGATATGTAAGCATTTGAAAGTGAATTAGGTACTGCTAGAATGGCTTTGCTAAAAGGAAAAGTAGGTACTTTTCGGTTCTTAAAGTATTTTAGCATAAGAGAAATTTGTTCCCAAAGAATAAGGGTGAAAATTACTGTGATTTGGAGTTAAAATAAAAACACCAAAAACACAAAACAACTATACCATGGTCAGTGATTGATAATGAAATGGTATTATTTTGGAATGATGTTATAAGGGTTATCATTAATAATTCTAAAAAAGCATTGCTACTTTAAACACAGAATGGTTGAGTTGAATTAAAGGTATTTTTTAACAAAATATATGTCAATAAAATTCTACTCCTAGGTATATACCCAAAAGAAATGAACACAAAATCTTAGAACAAAAACTTGTACTTGAATGTTCATAGCAGCAGTATTCACAAAAGCCAAAAGGTGGAAACAACCCAAATCTCTATCAACAGATTAAGGGATAAACAAAATGTGGTATATCAATACAATTTAATATTATTCAGCCATAAAAAGAAATGAGGTACTGATACATGCTACAATGTGAGTGAACCTTGAAAACATTATGCTAAGTGTAGGAAGCCAGACACAAAAGGCCACATACTGTATTATTCTATTTTTATGAAATATCCAGAATGGGAAAATCCATAGAGATCAATTACATATTAGTGGTTACCAGGAGATGAGGGAAGGGGTGAATGGGAAATGCTGCTTAATGGATACAGGGTTTCCATTTGGGGTGATGACCAAGTTCTGGAACTGGATAGTTGTGATGGTTGTACAATGTTGTGTATATACTTGAT